AGCTTGCCGCCAGCGGAAACCTGGTTCACTCTGGCGTCTCCGGTCTCGGCGAGAACCTGTACATGCAGTCTGGAACCGACAACGCTCTCGTCAACGCCGCCAACGCTTTCATCTCCGAGAAGAGCAGCTACAACGGCGAGGTGATCGACTCATCCAACTACATGACCTTCGGCCACTACAGTAAGTCTCCATCTCACATTGAAATGAGAACTTCATATACTAACTCCCCTTTCAGCCCAGGTTGTCTGGTCGTCCACCACCAAGGTTGTTCTTGCCTCTGCCAAGGGCTCCAAGGGAACCTTCGTCGTCGCCCGCTACTCTCCTCCCGGCAACTACATCGGCCAGAAGCCTTACTAAATGCAGTCTCGGTGGAAAGAGAGGTGCATGCTACATTCTAGGTCTTCATTGTCCCATTTCACGATCATGATATGATGATGGGATCGAGTAGGCACCCTGTTCAGGGAAGCCGAAAATGTTAGATTCTTGTAAATATTGCTTAGGGATATTGAATGGAAAACAGAACACATCAATAAGTGCCAATGCCGTAGTTATGTTTGATCGTGATAACCTTCCGAGTCTCTGAATCCAATTATCTTCTCACGTCGTGCGTATACTCAATTTTCGGCCGGGCGTATTGTCATTGTCGTCTACTCTAAATCTACGGTGCAGAGTGTGAGAACATTCCCGCCGTTAATCTACTTATTTTTTCTTGCGTCTGGCGATGTTGTCGCTGGGATAGAGGATTCTCCCTTCGTCGATGAGGTCTTTACTGTAATGGACATGTAGACTGCTGACTCTCGGGCTGATTGCCTGCTACAATATTGGCTTGAAAGATGTCGCTTTCCGGAAGAAAGAAATTGCTTCTAGTAGGTCTGTAATAAAAGATTGGATTACGTGCTTGGTTGAGTGGCAACTGATGGTCCATGTTTGCCGTAGCACAGAAAATATGCACCATAATTAGAGGATCTTCCGTTTAACAGTCTGCTACTTGCTATTTGAAGACAAGCTTGCATCCATTCCAGCGATTAAAACCTGTACCAGCAGTCTGGTATGAGGGAAGTCCGCAGAGAGACTTATTCGAATAGCGAAAAAAAAACACAATCTATCCTACGAGTCTGGTAACTCAGTGATATATGTCTTTGAATAGACGCCCCTGGCTTGTACAAGTCGATTTCTAGGATCTTAGCGATTGAAATACACATATAGAATGGATACTAGAAGCCTTAGTTGACACAAATGCCGTGGTTGACAGTAAGAGTGGTGCATTGGCCTGACCCTGAGCGTAACAAGCTATAAGCGTAGTGATCAGGTTTGGGTTTTGCTCGGACAGGATATAAAAAGAGTCAATCCAGACAAATAAATCTAAAGCTAGTTTGTAGTATTATGCCTTCAAAGTCAGTCTTGGTTAGCAATGCAATCCCAATATTAAGAAGGTGCACCTCGTTAGCCCCCTGGCACTTGATGATTTCAACAGAATGAAGCTTCAATTGATGAGCCCAAATTTCATTGACTAAAAGGGTAAGACCGGAATACTTTGAAGAACTACATATTAATCAACAGCTTAAGCCCCTACTGTCACAGATGATGAATGGAGGTTGGCTTTTGTTCTGTTGGCCTACGGGGTTTTATCATCTGGTCACAGGTAATGGCTTTAAGTTTAATATCATATTATTTTATTGAAGCTTGGCTATATCCGAAGTATGAAACTCTTCTCCTCGCCTGCATATGAACGCAAAATCAACAACGCTTAGTGACAATATATAAATGCTACAGAAATGTGCAATTCCAGTTCAAGAACTGAAATTGAGAAAGGTCTAAGCCTTCCTATGCGATCTCCTTGTGGACGGCGGTGCCGGCAAAAGTGGCATTGGGCTTCCACTTGGAGGAGTTTCGGGGGTTGGTCTCCTCCATCATCTTGTCAACCTGCTCCAGAGTGAGACCCTTGGTCTCGGGGATGAGGAAGTAGGAGTAGACGAGAGCGCAGAGACACAGACCGCCCCAGACGAAGAAGACGGACGACTTCATGTTGCCCTTGGTCTCACCGACCATGTAAGGGGTGATGACGGAGATGATGGTGTTCCACAGCCAGTTGGAAGCAGTGGACAGACCAACACCGCGGGAGCGGATGGGGATGGGGAAGATTTCTCCGATGACGATCCAGGCTCCCGGGCCCCATGTGGAAGCGAAGAAGAAGATGAAGATGGCGATGAAGGCGACCTGGGCGTTGACGGCACTGATGTTGTCGGCGATGGTTGCCTCGGGGTCGACGGGCGAGGGGTGGGTCTTGTTGAAGCCGACGGTGATACCGACGATGGCAACAATGAACTGGCAGATGACCATGCCGACGGCGCCGAGAATGAGGATAGTTCGACGGCCGAAGCGCTCAACAGTCCAGAAAGAGATGGGGGTGGAGAACACGTTGACGAGAGTGAAGATCAGCGACATGAGGAAGGAGTTGTCGATCGCGCCAGTTGACTTGAGGAAAGGGGTAGAGTAGTAGAAGATGAAGTTGATACCAGTCCTGGAAATCACGGTTAGCGAGTCAAGTTACATGAAAAGGCCTTGGAGAAGAATGCTCACCATTGCTGCATCATCTGAAGAGAGGTACCGAGAATGGTTCGTCGAAGGTTAGATTTGGAATCCCACAGGCTGCCGCGGAAGCAGGCAAACCAACTGCCCCAGAAAGTGGTGTCAGGGATCAAGGCACGCTCATACTCTTCATTGGCGACGATCTCGGAGATTTCGGCCTGAACGTAGGAGGAATCTTTCGGTTGTCCACGAACGCGGGAGAGAGCATCAATAGCATCTTCAATGCGTCCCTTCTTGACGTAGTAACGAGGAGAGTCGGGAAGGAAGAATAGGCCACCACCAAGAATGAGAGCCCAGGGAAACTGTAGAGCAATCGGGATACGATAGGAAGCGGTAGAGTTGAGATCTTGAGTTCCGTAGACAATGCAGGCGGCGAGCAGAAGACCAACGGTAACACAGAATTGGTATCCGGCGACGAGAGAACCGCGGACCTTGCGTGGGCACTAAACAACGATGGTCAGTTGGGAACAAGTGGGTGATGGGAGGGAGGAACATACAATCTCTGACATGTATAGAATGACGATGGCCGACTCGAAACCAACACCGAAACCAGCAATAAGACGGCCGGCGACGATAGCACCGAGAGCATTACCAGCACCAGTAATCATCTGAATAACAACACCGATGCAGTAGATGACGCAGCCCATGATGACGGTCCATTTTCGTCCAATGCGATCAGCCAGGTCGCCGGCAATCAACGCACCAAAGAAGGTACCGCAGGATAGAATGGATGTGATAAGAGAGGTGTGAGGGTCTGTGAGGGCGGTGGCGCCGGCTCCCTCAACCTGGCGGATGAAAAAGAGCGAACCGTTGACACCGTTGATGTAACCGGAATCGTAACCGAAGAAGATACCACCGAATGACGCAAAAGCGCACATTGCGTAGGCCTTCCAGGTAACTGGGGCCTCGAGGGCGTCAACATTGTCGGCTGTGGCAAGGTTGGCAACGACAGCGCCCTTGCTCTCGTTGGCCTCTTCAGCCTTGTCAGACATGGCGACTGCGAGGAGTGTGTGAGACACAGAATGGAGATGTTTGAGTTTGGGTTGGGGATCAGGTGTAAGTGGGGTGTTTGCAATGGTTGATTGTGTAGATATATAGAGCACAAAGGCAAGACAATGATTCACTGCCAAGGGCGAGGACCAAGCTTTTATATCAGGAGAACATCGTCGACTCCAGTTCTAGATGAGGCAACTCCACAAAAACTTATTTCCCCAGGGGTCTCTCCTCCTCTCCATTTTGATGGAGTGACCGTCTTCAGTGGCAATGCAATGGGGACCTGCCCCCCCCTGTCCACCACGAGGAAGCGGCGTGGTGTCTTGGTCTCGGTCTCATTCTGAAGCAGACTCTGCGGATCACGGGCACGCAAGCGGAGGAACAAGGAAAATTGAGCGGTTCAGTGGGGGCTCCGTGGGGTGATCTCATTACTGACACACTTCCATGCCGTCGAAAATTAAAGCCGATTTTTGGGCCGGAACACACAACCCACAGTCTTCGTCATGGGCTGGAGACTAAGCTTACCTGCTCTCCGTGGGGAATTTGCTTTGGAGTACCATGAAAAGTCAATTGCAACACTTCCGGGGGATTGGGGTCTGGATGGGGTCGTTGCATGCACTCTGGATGTCAGCGTGCCGTTGGGCCGACCTCTGGCCGCAGGATGAGAGACGACGATATGATATGCCTGCATAAAATTAATGGGTCACTGAATCATTTCCGCCCGGCAGTCAATTGAACATCGATCGTTTTCCTCGCAGTTCCCGAAGCTGATGAACAGGCTACAGGAGCGTCTCGTGACGCTCAGAATTGATTTCTCGCCCGCGCTTTACATCGTCAGGCTCGGTCATCAGCCTGTGCCTGTTCTCGAAAGCTCAGATTTGCTCTGAAACGGAGCCAGATGGCCCCGTGACTGGATGGTTTCCTTTTCGATCGGGCCGAAAGTTGCCCTCGTACATCCTCGACGACGGATCCGGCATCTTTCCCAGCTCCATCCGGCCTTCTCGTCGCGTCCCTCCAACGTTGATCGATTGATAATTATTACTTTCCAGCTGCTCCACCGTTGGCCTCGAATTCATTGCTCTCCCGATCCTCTCTCGTGCATCCATGCTGTCGGCCCTTTCTACGCTCATGGACTCGGCTTATTATTGCATATGGGTGCCCGTTTAGATTTACTAGTTGCTTCATTCGGCATGAGATGCAAAACTTATTGTGAGCACTCATTGCCAAACGTGAGATCAGCGGACCAAGAGCCTTCGAGAATGCCTTCCTGTCAAGCTGAACTCATGACTCGTGATGGAAAAAAAAACAAAAGGAGAAAGAAAAAAAAGTGATGTCATGGGGACCAAGAATCTAGCCAGATCTCGGCACATCCGGATGTCCCTTAGCTTGGCACTCTTTGCTTCCCGATGTGGCTCACGATGGAGGCTCGCAAGCAAAGCGTTCCCGAGAACTGCGCCAGCTCTGGCCCTGGCAATCTTGGAACAGTCCGTAAGTGATTAGAGGGGCCAGTTCCTGGACTCAACGGGCCGTTTGAGGGTCTAGTGGGTCGGGAACAATCGCCTTCTCTTGTCCGGAATCCCAACGGCACGTCCCTCATCCACTTTTACCAGGAGGCCAAATTATTAACAATCACATTCGGGCCGGGCTTCACCTGCGTCTCGAGGTAGGTCTCGTTATGGTCATATATCCGGGTCGGAGGCTATTGCCGATTCTCGTAAGAAACCTCAGAGCAACAGGTAGCCTGACTCAGTGTCATAGGTGAGCATTATTCCTCACCGTCCACAACCGTAGACCCGGAAATACGCAGACATCTACTCTACGTCTTCTTGCGCTCGGCGGTTTTGCGGCGTGGGGCTTCTCGTCAGACCCGCAACATCCATCTCTTGCTATCCGATTGTTTGCCTTCACAACACTCCACTTATCATCTCTCTCGCCATTCCTTTCCATGTCAGCTCATTGACCAGAACGAAGAACATCAGGGGATGGCAATTTTCTCCAGATTACCCCCGTCCCTCACCGTTGTTGACGAACCATATACGTACTGCCACCCGCCCACGGGGACTGGGAGAGCTGAGTTCCCCGTAGTTTCTCTTCCTTTATTCTTTGCGCGAGGATGTTTTTCTTCTCCGGAAAGCGCCATGTTGAGAGATCAGGATCATTTTCAAAGTGACCACCCAGCCATCCAAGTTCTGCGAAGTACTCGATCAAAGGTTCCTTTAATGCATTAGTAGCATTCATCCAGGAAGCTGAAAACTCTTCTCCGCGTCATGGGTACCCTCTCAGCTGTTGACTTGATAAGCGAAGTTATCCTTGCCAAGCCATTGCACTTGTCATTGTCTACATCCCTCTGATAGGGTTGTATTGAGACACCAGCTTGACAGGGAACTTTGTATCTTCCTGCCAAAACTGATAAGATAGCCGGTTCATCATCAATTTGTAGTCAGGCTCACCTGGCGTATTTCTTATGGCCGCGTATCTGCCCCGTTATTATCTTCCTGTTACTCAGCTCTTCATATGCACACCTGCTATAAAGACATGCTATCTCGGGGCCATTCCTTCTTGTTTTTTTGAAGAAGGTTGGTCTGTGAACCTTTTGATTTGTGCGCAATAAAATGTGCTCAGCATTTTGAGTAGCAGAAATGGTTTGTAATTTGAACTTCAGATGATTTAGCAGGTAATGTCTAGTACGTACCCGGAAATTAGTAGATGAGAAATATCGGAACACACAGCCTTGTGATGTTTATCAGGATAGGATTTCGTTAAATCTCAGGAGTTTGAAGAGGTTGTAAATTAAGTAGTAGACATCCAGACTTAGATACAAATAGTTTTATACCTACAAGATCTCCAATGTATTCTTAAAGATTTTTCAGCTAGACCTTCTATATGTCGGTGATATATATTCAATTTGGGATTTAGATTGCTCATAATTTTACCCAAAAGCTCAGTGAGCTGGCCGTCAACTCCCGTCAACGTATTGCTGAAGTACCTGTATTCCCACACGGTTTTATCCGGAACTATTGACTGGGGTTTGTGACTATCGACTCAAGCTCTAGCCCTGGAGTGTGGTACGGCTGGATGCCGGGTATTCCTGTCTCCTGTTCGCTGAATGTCCTGTGGAGGTAGATGCTGCTGCGTACTTTTAGAACTGGGAGAGTAGACTAGCGTATCATGTTAGTTGTTTTCTTGGGCTATCTGAGCCCTTAAGAATCCCTGGGTAATGCCTAAGCTGCAGCCAAATGACCCTTCACTCTCCTGTGTCTCCGCGAAGAGGGCCGAGCCACTCATGAAGTATCCGTAAAACCGGTCCTATGCCAGTCCTCCTCTAGTCTCATACGAGTTCACATGTATTTGGCGTGCCCACTAAATATACTTCCCCAGCAGTCCGCGACTTGCTCTGCTAAAAGCTCTCAGTCTTGGGCTAATTCATCCCCTCGGGTTTTTAAAGGGCTGAATGTGCGGAAGAATCGAATTTTCACTTTTTGTAGCCTTTGGCTAACCCAAGAAATAACATTTACATTGGCTGACACTACTGTTTAGTTGGCTACAAGTATTGAATCAGCCCTCGCAGCTTGAAGCCTTTTGACAACTTGCTCCTCACCTGCTGTAATTGCTGCTTGAAGCGCGGTAATTCCAAAACTATCAGGAACACTGCAGTCAGCCCCTCCTTCTATCAGTCTCTCGACAATCTTCAAGTGACCTTTTCTCGCGGCGGATATGAGAGGTGTTGACCACCACATCTCCAGCGCCCAAGCTTGGGACGCTTGCCCAATGCCGTTGATATTGGCCTTTGCTGCTATCAAGCTCTCAACGATATCCAAACAGCCCCGACTGGCTGCTATTTCTAGCTGGCTGTCATGACAAATATTGGGATCTGCTCCTGCAGACAAAAGTCTCTCGACTATACTTGAAGAACCCCCTTGGACGGCTGCACAAAGTGCCCTTCCCCCATCAATATCAACCCAAGCCCCTGCATTTATCAGTATTTCAACAACCTCCAAATCGCTGTTCTGGGCCGCTTGTACAATTGCGGGCGATCCTCCATTGTTAGTGTTTGGGCAGGCACCAGCTGATAGAAGTGTCTCAACCATTTCTACGCACCCATTTGAAACCGCTGCGCAAAGTGGTGTTTTGATACTATACCCTTCAGGTGAACCAACTAAAGTAGGTGCATTAGATAAATCAATAATATTTGATATGGCCAAAAAGAGTTCCTGAACATTTGGGGCTTCATTAAGCCAGCGGCTCAGAGGGCCATCGGTTTCCGGTTTTTCTCTAGGTCTCAAAGTTGACCCTATGACACGGTTCCAATCAGAATTGGCTCTAGCGGATAATAACGAGTCGGCTCCAGCGGATAACAACAGTTTGGCGGAGGCAATATGCCCTTTCCTTGCAGCATACCATATCGGAGTCCGATTGTAAGCATCCACGATATTTGGATCGCACCCCGACTTAAGAAGGGACGCCACCGCCGGAGTTATTCCAAAAAAGGCTGCTAAATGCAACCCTGTGAGATTTCTCGGATGTTCGTCTCTGTTATTCATTATTCCATTGGATTCTGGCATGGCTTCCGGGACAAGTAATACTTGACCCGATGCCTCGACTTGCCCATCATTCTGGAGGAAAGTGATTATGAAATTGCTTCCCGTATTATCATCACAGGGATGATAGCCCCAATTCTTCGCAGCATATTTATAAAATGGATATTTTTGACATCGCTGCTGCATCTGAACCCGGCCATGACACGATCCGGTCTCAAACTCTTTGAACGAGAGGTATGAAACGCAGGTCGCTCCTAACGTGGACTCCGCCTGTGGGCACCAAGAACTTGAACAAAGAAAATTCTTGAGGAATTCCTGTGTTGTGTAGTGCACCAGACGAACGACGCCACTTGCTTTATCGAATGCCACCAAACCGACACAGACGGAAATCATATCCACAACCTGTGGGATGTCGCCTAAATCGAGCTCGGGCTTTCCAGGTTTGGTGGCGAGAGCATGTTGAACTTCCAGTGCTGTGAGCTGCGTTTTTGCGTATGTTACCCATATTAAAACATTCAGTGCAAGGCTCTTATGGCCTTTTAGCCGTCTGTTTATCCTCTCCATTGCTTGTCCATATGCGAAGTAAAGTAACTCTACCTTTTCGGTATCATCTCGCCCTTTTCGTTGGCGTTTAAATAGCTCCAAACTACTTCGCACCTCATTTGGTGTCATCTTGTCGTCCAGCAAGCTGATGTAAATTTGAGCCAACAGAAACCTAACGGAAGACTTTAGTATAATGGCCTTGTATTCACTGCCTTAAATCACATACATTCCTTCGACCGCTTCTAAAATTCCCGTTGCGATTTCTTGCTTAAGATCCCGATGGCCTTGAATATGGGCCGGAAGTTGTTTTATGCGACGATTTATGTATCTCGTGACATCTTCATTTCTGGCGTGGACCTCTATTGAAGTAACTCCTTTAAAAATATCTGTAATATGGGGAATAGACCTCGAGGTTGCAAAAATATTTATCCCCTGAATCCTCTGTATGTCGAACAATTTGTCGAGGATATCCTTTACGCCGTTATTTGACATTTGGCATTCGTCAAGTGCGTCCATGAAAATAAGAATTTTTTCATACGTTTTTGTCACGGTCTTGAGAGTTTCGAAGACCTCCTCCACGGATGGATAAGTTCTTTTCTTGTTATGGGCTTCATAAAGCTTGCTCAAGCTCTTTGGTAGTGAGGGTAAACACTGGGTTAGTTGTCTGAGTATACTCAGTAGCAATGTTCTGGTGTCCTGTTGATTCTCCCTTTGGTGGTTACAGTAGACATATGCAATGCCAACTTCTGGATTGCTATTGAATTTCAAATTGGCATAGTTGACTGCTATCGATGTGATTATTGTTTTGCCACTTCCAGGAATACCTGGACAGAACAGTGTCTGGTTAGTTCCAGCAAGCCATGATTGGAATTCTTCCGATTCAAGAAACCATTCTCCCGTTCCTGGCTGCCATAGTTTGAAATAATCACTTTGGGTAGCTCCGTAATTGACAGTGGTGAGCCAGTTGAGAACATCGAGATCGGCGCCCCTATTAAGTTCGGACTTGACATACGCAACATCCTTTTGAGTTATACATAGATCGTCATTAACTATATGTCATTAGAGAGATCTATCCGATAGACTTGGGATTGAATACTACTTACTCTGATCTAATAATTCCATTAAAGATCGTTCCCCTTCAAGATCCGCTGGCTGGACATAGCTAAGAAGTTCTTTTGCAAATGCTGCAGCTGTTGCTGCAGCATATTCTTCCCAGTCTTTAATCTTCATTGACGAATCAGCATAATCACAAATCCCTCGGATCGTGATACATGGGAAATTAATCAATCCTGCAGCCTCCATCTCAAAGCATAAGATATTTCCATCAAATTTTTGGTTGATAGAATCGCGAGTCTTAGCATCCTTGATTAACTGGTTTCCAGATGCAATAAGACCATAGTGGACGCAGACATCTTCAGGGCCACGAGCACAAACGTCCAGCTCAGATATTGGGTCTCGTCTTGCATCAGACCAGGTATATTTGGCCACTAGCCTTGGCCAGTTTGCCTTCAGGTCGCTTAGATATTTGGGAATCTTAGACCCTTTCATTTCGTTATCACTCTCGAGCTGTGTAAGTGCCGCCAAGAGTACACTTGGGGGTCTATCAAGGGACCCAATGCGGGTAAAGTGGTTTTTCTCAGCCTTTCCAAAATCCCATTGCACCACGCCAGGATATTGATCATTTGGTGTGCCGACCACCACATCGCCAAGCCTTACTTTAGGCGGAATGCCTCCTCCAATGCCGACCATCAGCCCAATTCTTACAGATGGAAAGGTGCGGGTCATTTGAGTCACAAAGGTAGCAGCCGAGTTGGTCCCAATTACTCCTTTCGGGAGGCACACTATAACGACGTTATGGCTGCCAATTGACCCTAGTGTATAAGCGTTGGGATCATTAGGTGGTTTGTTGAGAGGAGGGTAGGTATTGTCCAACATGGCTCTCGCAGCCGTTTGCTCCTTCGGCAGCCCACATACCCAGCCAACTGTGAAATCATTGTGGCTCAGGGTCAAGGAATGAGAGTTTTGCTTCTCTTGTGTGTGTTCCGCGCGGCTTTCTTCCTCGCTATCTCGCTTGCGGCTTGTCACCGCTGAGTGGTGGGACATGCCGACAGATTCAATTGGAGGGCGAGCGGGGAACGAGCTTGGTATTGTGTATAGTTCCAGCTGTCCAGAAGCTGGAAGCCAGAAGCCAGTCTTTTCTTTCTTAAGATGAAAACTGACGATGCTAGAAATTGGCCTTCGGGCAGTCCTCATGTAGATGTCAAGTACGAGTCAGGATGATGAGGGTGACAATCAAGGCGGGAAGGTCGCGAGGATTCGTCAGCCCAACAATTTGTCATTTGAGCTGAAAAGTTCTTACCCAATATCGCCAACCAATCAACTTCTAGAGTTACTGCGCCTTGTGTGGCTTCGCCAAACGAACATTTCCTCTATGCTGATTGGTTGTGTTGGCGGGCGGCATGAGCCAATACTACATGTATCTATCTACCTTACCTCTCTTGTGGCTTTCTACTTCAAGGCGGGTTGTATGGGTATCATGCATGCAGCTGATAACTATTGCAGCGGGCTGTGTATAGCTGATGTGAAAAGAGATTTATAGACCATTGTGGTTTGTTGATGGGCAAAGTGATGATGATTTATTTGGAGAGGACGGCTAAATGTGCGAACTTGGAAGCTATTCGTCCATCAACAAGGTCTAATAATTCCGATTAGTTCAATAGTAAGGACTATTCGTTGAGATCATACTTGATGGGAACTGAACCTACGCTTACGAGAACTTTTCTTGGAAATAGGAATGAAATAGTGGTTATGGGACTTTTCTTTATTTTCTTTGGTCCCTTCAGCCGAATTCGGTATTTCTAAGGTATCTCGCTCATGACTTGCAACTTCAAACTTAGTCAGTCTCACATCGTCCATCCAGTGTCCCATGCAGTGCTCCAATCTCGATTGATGTCGGATACATTTATCGGGAAAATAAAATCTCCCTCCGACAAATCTTCCAACACATCCAGTGTCCAGTTCATCCCCATGAAGTGATCAAAATCTTGCACCTCGCCGAGATTTCTTTCAGAGTTCTGCATCGTAAGATTTTGATCCCATACTTCTTCAACTTCTGAAGCCCCCGGCCTTTCAGTAATCTGAGGAAAAGATATCGCTCCCTGTTCAGGCTTGCTAGAAGAAGGTTCCCATTTGACGCTACCAAAGTAGGGAATTGCGATTTTTCGCCTCGTCTCTCCGTCTCTCCCATCATTGAACTCGCATAACAGTTCAAGCGTCATTCGACACTGGGCGGCAATTCGGCACCCCTTTTCTGTCTCTTCTCGGCTAAAGATGCTCCTAGCCCTTTCTAACAACACAATGTCATCCGCTGCAGGTGTTCGAGCTGCGGCGGCACCCGAGAGGTCGCGAGACCATCCAACAGTCAAAACAACAGCCCCCATGAAGCCCACAAAATCACTTGTTTTGCAATCAAAGATGCTAGAGCCATTCACAATGGATCGTAGCAAAACGAAGCGTTTCAGCAATGATCTTGAGGCTTCGAGGCAGGAATGTCCGTGGACCTTTTGCAGGGCCGTTTCAGACAAGCCGAATAGGAACGGGAGATGGAGTACCATCCTAACGTGCAAAAAGTAAAACTGTTGTAAGAGACGATTTCTTAGACTTTCGATTTCCTCCTCACTACCGGGCAGGTCTGTGGGTAGTTCCCACCAGCTTTCAGGCATAGAAGCAGCGATAGCATCCATTTGTTCGTCCAGAAGCATTGAAAAAGTGGAGGAAGGCCGGACAGGTACTACGTTGCGGTCAATTACTTTACCAGCAACAAAAGCACACCGAAGGACAAATCTTTGGTCCAGAAATTCTGGCCCTGCAATCAGTGACTCAGTGTCTGCACCAAAGTGTGCGTCATTAAAACCATATGGCAGTCCAAGAAGCATGCTCATGAAGCGATCGCCATGGTAGAACGCCCACCAAATGGAAGTTTGTTTGGCAGGTTTGTCTCTGTCGTGTAATCCCTGTTATGGGAGAGTACGTGAGCAGTATCCTAATGATGAAGACAGATCAAATGACTTACCATTTCTTGTGAGATGGCTATACCCTTACGATACATATGCCAAGCCTGCCGCGGTAATCCTACATCGCTGTAGGCTTTCGCCAACAAGAGCAGACACTCTAAATCCCCTAAAGAATACGCATGGCTCGAATCTGAGAATAGTATGCTTTCGACAGCGCGGTACAGGTGCTGATTCTCGCCAGAGCTGCGGGCATATGTTATCAGAAGCATGCCAAGTTCAGCAGGAATTTTGCTCTGATATGCTTCTGTAGCAAATTGTTGAAGTTCCACGTATGTGCTTTGGGACAAGACGCGAGTTTTCTGACGAAAACTACTCCACCATCCACCATTTGCTAATAGAACCGACATCAAATTCGAATATTCAGGCATTAAGTTGGACAAAGAAGTGCATTTCTGCACTCTGATCCGTTCTCGATTGGCGCGCTGTGGCTCATTTGTCTGTACTCCGGAACGGGATGCAGAGGGAGCTGGCTGGTTTTCGAATAAAAGTTAACCCTACATTGTGCTAGCTACTTGTTGACAAGAAGCACTTACTTGAGCCGCATTCAACATTGACACAAATGGAGCCCTGGAGTCTGCTTCTACAGGGAATCCTGGTACCTCTCCAGTGATGTGTGTAAAGAGATCATCAACATTACCTACGCATGCACCCGGCAGCGTCAAGAAGGTGATCAACGGAATCCTTGAACTTCCTCCATTGTCCAACGTCTCATCCCGTTGGTCGATGCATTGAGAGCCACGAGATAAACATGGGCCACATGGGCTATCCATGGACCTTCTATCGCACCGTAGCTTCCTCCGACGACCTATTGGGGACATTAGCATTGTTTCTGTTCTCGCCATAAGGAGCTACGCAGCAGCCTCCAAGCAACAGATCACCAGCTCTAAAGGTGTAGCCGCAAGAGTTGATGGCTCCAGTTACGATTTAAAGACAACATGAGTGTTTTTAAACTTACATTCGGTACAGCTGTGCGTGCCCTTCCGCAACCTTCGCCTTCGCACAGGCGTGCTGGCATCTGCCCCCGCTCCTGACATTTGATGGCAAGCGATTTAAGGTGCCCAACTCTGAGGCTGAACGCATTCAGTAACAACCAATAGATAAATCAAACCATGAATTGATAACCCACTAGCCTGGTAATGTGGAATGGGGGTGATCCGCGACTCCGGGCCGGGTTTGATACGTGGATGGATCTCGGGATCAGATGCTACAAGATTCGTCCGCATTTTCATCCGTGGCACGTGATCTGACCGGACCAGTGTCTCTCGTCCGCCTCATCCAGCCATGAAGTACTCGTTCACGTCGAATTAGTCGGTTGATCCTCCTCTATATAAGATAGCTTCGTTTCGCTCATTCATAGCTTTTCTAAATATTCTTCTTCATTCCCAGCACAGGAAACAAGCTCGGCACCTCGCCTACAAATAACAGCCCAATCCGATATTCTTCAAAAGTATTATCAAATCTTTCAACTTCTAACTTTTTTTTGCAAAAAAAAAATGACTCCTCTCGTTTGGATGGTCACAGGTAGCACGTCGGGCATCGGCGCTGCGCTTGTTGACCGGATCATTGCCCGCGGTGACAAGGTCATCGCGTCCGGGCGCAAGACCGAAGAACGTCTGGGCCACTTGAAGTCCGATAATGTCGCCCTCTTGGATTTAGACATTACTTCCGAATGGCCAGAAATAAAGGCCAAGATGGAAAAGGCCTGGGAGACGTTTGGACATATCGACGTCCTGGTCAACAACGCTGGTACCTCGTCCCTCAAGAGTGCCGAAGACGCAGAGTACGTTACATGCATATCACTGAATACGCCCGCTCATTGAATCCTCAAACAACTGACACTATCTTCCAAAAGCGAGGCCTTTATAAACCAAATGTTCCAAGTCAACGTGTTTGGGCACATGCAAGTCACACGTGCAATTCTTCCGTTCTTTCGCGCCCAGGGTCACGGCCGGATCGGCTTTACTTCCTCTGCCAGTGAATGGGGTCCGATACCGTTCATGTCGCATTACGCAGCATCTAAAGCAGCCCTGAGCACATACGTGGAGAGCCTGCATAAAGAAGTGCGTCCGCTTGGCATCGAGTGTGTGAGCTTCGCTTGTGGTGGGTTCCCGACAAACCTAGGCCAGCCACGAGACAGTGGCACAGCAGCTTTTGGAAGTGAGGGAACCTCGATCCAGGCATATCAGCCCCTTATGGCAGACATCGCGGGTATGATGATGGAAGACCCCATGGCCTTTATGCCAGGTGACTTGGTTAAGTTGTCCACTGTCTTGGTGAATATTCTCAGCAAGGAGGGTCTTGAGGTTAATCTCCCGTGGTCTGTGAACATTGCTTTGGGGTCTGATGCATTTTTGATGGGCAAGAAAAGGACTGAAGAGCAGATGATTCAATTGGACAGATGGAAAGATGTCAGCTGCAGCACGGATCGCCAGCCAGGCACTTATACGATCAAGAAGCGCTATTCGGAGTTGATATCATTGCTAGAGGAGTAAAGCTGGAAACCACAACCCAGCGATAATATATTTGATACGCTTTCTTAACTCGTAAATTTCGTTCTAGGTGTACCCTCTAAATATTCCTGTGTGCAAGAATTATGACGTTAATAAAGAGGGACATCCTTGCCGAAGATCTGCGTTTCACCATTCAGCCTCGAAGATAGTTCCGCCCCGCGAATCCCAATTTAACCATGTTAGCAAGTTAGCACCTACGCCAAAGAAATGAAGTCTTCATTAGTTGGTAATCTCGCCTAGTTACCAGGCCACTTTGTTTATTTGGCAATATGTAGTGCAGATCATTTCCAAAAGTTCTTCTCAAATATACAAAACCGTCGGTCAAGAGCGGCCAGATTCGCATGGCATCATATCAAGCATTCAAATGACGGAATTAAGGTAGGATAGGATGGAGCACCTGGCGTTGCCAATTCCCCATTCAGTAAATCGTGCTCTTGACTCATGAAGCTGAAAACTATTCTTAGTAGACTGAAACGCTAGCGCCCCCGAGGCACATAGACTGTCTTCCTTTAATGGGGTACCCGTGAATGTAAAATGATGTGACAGCCTGCTGACAGGTAGAGCTCATTAATTACTGTATTTATTAAAACTCAACATAGCCCTTCTAGAAGAATGACTTGGCTGTCTATACAAATCGGAGATCATCCACCATGAGGCTCGATTTAGTGCTCGATAGAGTTCTCTGCGCTCTGACGCTCATCTCCGGCACTGACGCGGCAGCAGTCTGTCCCCGCGCGTCAAAAGGATGCGGAAAGGCTCACACATTCATTGGGGAATCCCGGGAGTTCACCTTTGAGAGTGACGGCATCAACCGCACATACCGAATCCATCTGCCGAAAAGTTACGACAAGGATCACTCCCAGCCCCTGCTCCTCTTCTACCATGGTAAAGGAGGGCAGCCAAAAGACATTGAGTATGGGACCCAACTATCCACTGAAGAGGTCAACCCAGATATGGTCGCCGTATATCCTGCCGGCGTCAATGTAAGCGGCTCATTACTTTCTGGCAGTTGTTCACCCACTGATCATTTCAATACAGAAATCCTGGCAAGGCCCAACGTATGCCAAACCAGGCGTCAATGACCTGAAATTCACCGATGATCTCGTAAACCGCATAAAAAGCGACTACTGTATCGATGAGAGCCGCATCTACGCTGGAGGCCACTCCAATGGCGGCGGCTTCGTCGGTCTTCTAGCCTGCTCGAAAGAAGGGGGCCACTTCGCCGCCTTCGCCCCGTCTGCCGCGGCATTGTATACCGATGTTGACGGCCAATCCTGCACTCCTGCGCGTTCACCTCTGCCCATAATGGAGACACACGGGACTGCCGACAAGACGATTCCCTATGAGGGAGGCAAGGGCGCGGGAGGACCTCTCCCTGCTATTCCTGATTGGTTGTCTCGCTGGGCGAAGAGAAATAAGTGCGATGAGCCCAAGACATCCGATAAGGGGAAAGGAGTCACTCTCCAGCAGTGGAAGTGCGGCGGCAAGGAAAATGCTTTGCGTCACTGGAAGCTCAAAGATCAAGGGCATGATTATCCGGGTCGGAATAACGAGCACATGTGGTTATCACCCAAGGTTATCGAGTTCTTTAATGCCCACAAGAAGCCTTGATTCCAAAATTGAGTTTGAAACTTGGGCCAGCTGTGATGCTGGTTGGAAGAGCGCGTCGTTCAGTTGTTTTCGTCTGGCGGCTAATTACATGCATGTACTTGAATAAATACCCAATGATGTTATTAGAAAGGTTGTTTTATTATTGTAAGCCCGATCTCCATGACTTTTCTCTTTTGGACTATTCTTTACTTATCCGTATGCTCACGGCTCTCTTAAAATTGGTTTTCACTTCAGCCATCTTCACTCCTAAATACTAGGAAGCCAGGACTGGTTTCAGGGAACCACTGACAGTATAATCATTTTCGTACTCTAATTATCCATCAGCCTACGGCATAGCCTGTTTCTAGTTGGTTTCATCTCAAAACATTCCCAGCACCACGTTCAGGTTCAATCCTCGCCTTTTTCATAAAATAAGCTAGTGCATCTTTAGAGACATGAATTCTAAGCTGCTTGAGCCTTGAAAATGAATTGAACACTGTTTTGCCTAACGAGGCCGACAATTTAAATTCGCTCTCTGTGAGAGATGTTGGAGAAAGAACCTCTGGCGCCTCGCTCCGTCATATACCTCTTCCTCACGCGTTTTCGATGTTTTTTACTTTCTTTTGGTGGCCTTGAGATCAGTTGAGATCATTGGAAAATCTATATTCGACTCTATCAGGCAGCATACGGATAACAATTCACGGCATTCCCTAGGTCACCCTCCAATGTACGTTGCAGCTGTTGTGTTTTAGCAAAGTATAAATTCATAAAGATAAAAATTAAGAAAGGAATATTAAGTATGAATAAAGCATTAGATTATTTTATTTTATGATATTCTATATAATTATTACTTAGAATCAGCTGCTTATTCTTTATTTGGGTGATCATTTGTGTGCTTATAATATTGTTTCGCGTTTAGGGTAGCAATATTCCATGATGGTCCGTGGCAGTTTTACGCTTTGCCTCTTTCCTATGCAGCGACGGATTGGATCTTCCGTCAAGGGGTTTCAGGAAACGGAGGCGTAGCTGCAGCTTAACGGAAGGATCCGCACTGAAGAACACGCCCGTGCCCTTTGACGGGGCGGGATACCCAGCAGGCTCGCCACGTGTTGGATACTGGTGGCTACGTACGCAGTGTTCTAGTTTCCATTATCTATGATGATCAGGTTCCTTCGCCTTGCTATAGATAGCTATGCCACGACGGAATGATGGGGCCATGGACGGAATGAAAATGCTTCGTGTTGTGTCGCGTGTGTTCATTTGACCTCGTGAAGTGGGAGAATGTTTATTGGGATCCGCATCACACACGCTATTTTTGAAATGTGCACTTTATTTAATATTTGGCCAGGCCCATAAAAACAGCAGCTTATCTCCGGTAGACGATTTTGGCCGGGGATTCAGGGATCGCCATCTTTGATTCCCTGCCTATCGAAGAGGGCTATTGGTAGTGGACTGAAGAATGGAAATTGAGCTTCATGTTTACTGATCGTGGCCCTGACCGCCAGAGTGTCGTAACGTAGGGACAAGGCTGAGACACGCCCAGGGGCACTATTGTCCTGGAAAGTCGCACGATTTACGACAGCGCGTACCTGCGACCTGCGCTTGATACGTGTGTAGGCTTCGCCAAGCAACCGTCAGCTTACTCTGTGGGGACCGGTGAATCGAACGATTGGCTTGTCGGCGTGGCTCCCCTGCAATACGACAAGGAATGTTCTATCCGGGGATCACAACTGAAATGACGTTTCATGTAACGAGGACCCTGGCCCGGCAGTAAAAGCAGCGTGGTTCGCACTTGGAATTTACCATTCTTAAACCGAGTGGATAGTTAAACAACCACTATCGTAGGTGGATGATTTGTCGATGCTCACACTTTAGCCACTATGAGGCAAAGTCCATGGATTGGCGTGTTGGCATTCCTGTTGGGAAGCGTATGC